AGATAAAATAATTAGATTATTTGGAAATATGTTAACGTTATTGTTATAACATATACCGTATAAAAAAATTCTAAAAGTCATTAAAAAGACACTTATTTAAAAATGATTGTTTAAAACGTTCTGTGTAAACTTTTGGCAACATAAATTGATGATCGCGTTCTTCTTTAGACATGTGTTGGAGGGATTCCAATTTCTGTCCATGTGCATGATGATAGCAATTATTCACTAAATTCATGAAACCATCATGCGAGAGGTAAAATACTCTGCGTTGGCGGGGAATCGAACCCCGGTCTCCCGCGTGGCAGGCGAGAATTCTACCACTGAACCACCAACGCGATATACATCACAGTCATTTCTTCGCAATTTTTACTATTTCGCTGTGGATTTAACACCACCAAGTTATTTTTAGAATTGGTACACACGTCGTCAGTAATTACTCATTGTCATCTTCTTTAGCTACGTTGTTTGCGGCACTGCAAATTGAAATGATGCACGTAGCAAAACGTCAACAGCACGGGGGCACAATTCTTAGAATGTAAGCACGGAATAAAAGGCATTTTCTGTAGAGAATTTGCATTTTCCCATGCCGGGAATTGAACCCGGGCCATGGCGGTGAGAGCGCCAGATCCTAACCACTAGACCACATGGGAATTCGATCGACCAACATTGCAACCACCACTAAATGTAAAAGGCTTCTCTATCCTGATATCGAACATTTTCAAGAAAATTCCTAAGGTTCGTCATGACCTTGAAGTGACTTGAACACTTAACCTTCTGATCTGGAGTCAGACGCGCTACCAGTTGCGCCACAAGGCCATCGTTAAAAAGATTTTGCAGTTGAATATCCACGATCCAGTCGTCGAAACAAAAGTCATCGAATATCCTAAAAAGCATTCCCATGCCGGCAATCGAGCCCGGGCCATGCATGGCGGTGAAAACGCCAGATCCTAACCACTAGACCACATGGGACATTCATTCATTCGTGCGTCTTTATTAAAATCTATCATAAATATTGGAGTTGCAACAAACGTGCAACTTTACAGTACATATAAGATATAATTACATTGTTTACAAATGTGTTAACGTTACAGTTAATATATACAGTAAAACCAAGTTTTAAAAGTCATTAAAAGTTGTTTAAAACGATCAGTGCATATAAGATAAAATAATTAGATTATTTAGAAATATGTTAACGTTATTGTTATAATATATACCCTACCAAAAAATTCTAAAAGTCATTAAAAAGACACTTATTTAAAAATGATTGTTTAAAACGTTCTGCGTAAACTTTTGGCAACATAAATTGATCATCGCGTTCTTCTTTAGACATGTGTTGGGGGGATTCCAATTTCTGTCCATGTGGATGATGATAGCAATTTTTCACTAAATTCATGAAACCATCATGCGAGAGGTAAAATACTCTGCGTTGGCGGGGAAACGAACCCCGGTCCCCCGCGTGCCAGGCGAGAATTTTACCACTGAACCACCAACGCGATATACGTCACAGTCATTTCTTCGCAATTTTTACTATTTCGCTGTGGATTTAAACACCGACAAGTTATTTTTAGAACTGGTACACACGTCGTCAGTAATTAGTCATTGTGATCTTCTTTAGCTACGTTGTTTGCGGCACCGCAAATTAAAATGATGGACGTAGCAAAACGTCAACAGCACGAGGCATTCCCTGTAGAGAATTTGCATTTTCCCTTGCCTGGAATTAAACCCGGGCCATGGCGGTGAGAGCGCCAGATCCTAACCACTAGATCACATGGGAATTCGATCGACCAACATTGCAACCAGCACTAAATGTAAAAGGCTATTCTAATCTGATATCGAACATTTTCAAGAAAAATCCAAAGGTTCGTCATGACCTTGAAGTGACTTGAACACTTAACCTTCTGATCTGGAGTCAGACCTTCTGATCTGGAGTCAGTTGAATATCCACGATGTAGTCGTCGAAACAAAAGTCGTCGAATATCCTAAAAAGCATTACCATGCCGGGAATCGAACCCCGGCCATGGCGGTGAAAACGCCAGATCCTAACCACTAGACCACATGGGACATTCGCTCACTCGTAAGTCTTTATTAAAATCTGTCACAAATATTAGAGTTGCAACAAACGTGCAATTTTACAGTACATATACGATATAATTACATTATTTACAAATGTGTTAACGGTACAGTTAATATATACCGTAAAACCAAATCCTAAAAGTCATTAAAAGTTGTTTAAAACGATGAGATTTTACTGTCACGCTTGTCTTCGAGTTTTGGTATTCGGGGAAAGGCTCTAGAGTGGTTTTCTTCATATTTGTCAAGGCCTAGCCAGCGCATCGTGTTTGACGGAGTTACATCAGACAGCTGTGATGTGCGCTTCGGGGTCCCACAAGGGAGTTGCCTTGGTCCGCTTCTCTTTGTTATGTACGCTTCAAAGCTTTTTGAGATTGTTCAAGCACACCTCCCTGATGCCCATGGTTTTGCCGATGATGCGCAATTATACCTGTCATTCAATCCTAATAATCCCGCTCATCAAACGGAGGCGGTGTCTGCCATGGAGGGATGTATTAGTGACCTGAAGAAATGGATGTATCAGGACAAGCTAAAGTTAAATGACGATAAAACTGAATTTCTTATCATCGAATCTAGACAACAGATTTTGAAAGTTAACCCTTGTACGATTCGCGTTGGCAATACCGAGATCAAGCCAGTTTCGGAAGTGCGTAATCTGGGCTCTTGGTTTGATTCAAATTTATCCATGTCCACCCATATTTCTAAGTCTTGTGGCGCTACATTTTGCTGGCTACATAAAATCAAGCGCAAAAGTAAATTCCTTGCAAAGGATCAATTAGAAATGATCTTGCATGCCTTTGTTACAAGTAGAATTGACTATTGCAACGGACTTCTCTATGGATTGCCGGACTGTGACATAGTTAAATTACAGCGAGTTCAGAACGCTGCGGCCAGGCTGCTAACGTCTACTAGCAAGTACAGCCATATTACGCCTGTTTTACAGGAACTACACTGGTTGCCAGTTAGATTTAGGATTCATTTTAAGATTTTACTTTTAACTTTCAAAGCTCTTAACGGCTAGGCGCCAGATTATATTAGGGAACTTATTAAGATAAGGAAACATGAACGTTACTCGCTCCGTTCCAATTCGGGTATTATCATCTCACATCCAGTGGGGAAAATGTTAAAATCATTCGGAGACAGATCTTTTAGTGTGGCTGCGCCAACACTCTGGAATGCACTTCCTGTAAGCCTTCGGAGTATCAGTTCTCTTTCAATTTTTAAATCCTCTCTGAAAACATATCTTTTTAAGCTAGCTTTTAGCCTCCATTAAATGTATATATTTAAGATTATTAATAGGTGCATGTATAATAGAGTGTATTGTAATGCGCTTTTGATCATTGTATGTAAAAAGCGCAATATAAATAATTAAATTATTATTATTATTAAAAAGACACTTATTTAAAAATGATTGTTTAAAACGTTCTGTGTAAACTTTTGGCAACATAAATTGATCATCGCGTCCTTCTTTAGACATGTGTTGGAGGAACTCCAATTTCTGTCCATGCATGTGGATGATGATAGCAATTTTTACTAAACTCATTAAACGATCATGCGAGAGGTAAAATACTCTGCGTTGGTGCGGAATCGAACCCCGGTCTCCCGCGTGGAAGGCGAGAATTCTACAACTGAACCACCAACGCGACATACTGAACAGTTATATCTTCGCAACTTTTACTACTTCGCTGTGGATTTAAACACCACCAAGTTATTTTTAGAACTGGTACACACGTCGTCAGTAATTACTCATTGTCATCTTCTTTAGCTACGTTGTTTGCGGCACCGCAAATTAAAATGATGGACGTAGCAAAACGTCAACAGCACGAGGGCACAATTCTTAAAATGGAAGCACGGAATAAAAGGCATTCCCTGTAGAGAATTTGAATTTTCCCATGGCGGGAATCGAACCCAGGCCGTGGTGGTAAGAGCGCCAGATCTTAACCACTAGACCACATGGGAATTCGATCGACCAACATTGCAATCACCACTAAATGTAAAAGGCTTTTCTAATCTGATATCGAACATTTTCAAGAAAATTCCTCGGTATTCGTCATGACCTTGAAGTGACTTGAACACTTAACCTTCTGATCTGGAGTCAGACGCGCTACCAGTTGCGCCACAAGGCCATCGTTAAAAAGATTTTGCAGTGGAATATCCACGATACAGTCGTCGAAACAAAAGTCGTCGAATATCCTGAAAAGCATTCCCATGCCGGGAATCGAACATGGCGGTGAAAACGCCAGATCCTAACCACTAGACCACAAGGGACATTCATTCACTCGTAAGTCTTTATTAAAATCTGTCATAAATATTGGAGTTGCAACAAACGTGCAACTTTACAGTACATATACAATTATTACAGTACATATATTTTTACATTATTTACAAATGTGTTAACGTTACAGTTAATATATACCGTAAAACCAAATTTTAAAGGTCATTAAAAGTTGTTTAAAACGATCGGTGCATATAAGATATAATAATTAGATTATTTAGAAATGTGTTAACGTTATTGTTAATGTATATCGTATAACAAAATTCTAAAAGTCATTAAAAAGACACTTATTTAAAAATGTGTTTTAAAACGTTCTGTGTAAACTTTTGGCAACATAAATTGATCATCGCGTTCTTCTTTAGACATGTGTTGGAGCGATTCCAATTTCTGTCCATGTGCATGATGAAAGCAATTTTTCACTAAATTCATGAAACCATCATGCGAGAGGTAAAATACTCTGCGTTAGGGGGGAATCGAACCCCGGTCTCCCGCGTGGCAGGCGAGAATTCCACCACTGAACCACCAACGCGATATACTGCACAGTCAATTCTTCGCAATTCTTACTATTTCGCTGTGATTTTGAGAAGTTTTGACTAGTTATTTTTAGAACTGGTACACTCGTCGTCAGTAATTAGTCATTGTGATCTTGTTTAGCTACGTTGTTTGTGGCACCGCAAATTAAAATGATGGACGTAGCAAAACTTCAACAGCACGAAGGCACAATTCTTAGAATGGAAGCACGGAATAAAAGGCATTCCCTGTAGAGAATTTGAATTTCCCCATGCCGGGAATTGAACCCGGCCCATGGCGGTGAGAGCGCCAGATGACCTCGTTGCTACAGTAATGCATGTTCCTCAAATAGTTTGCGTATGTCACTCAACGGTTAACATTGGCAAGTGTAAGCAACAAGTGACAGAACTTCTGCTCCATATGATTACAATAAAGTTTTGCATAAAATTTTTATTTCCTCACTGCATAATTATCCGTTACAATCATAATCACATAAAATTAGTTACATTTTTTTTGGCGGGTGGGGGTTTTGGGTGGGTGGGTTGGGGGCAGTTGCCCCTGCTGCTCTCCCCGCTGTGTACAGCTCTGATAGATGTGTATGTGAATCAAGTTTTTTCGCAGATACATGTACGCGTCGCGTACCTATTTTTTAATTTGTTTGAGAGTATATATCCCAGATGATATTTTACTACCATATACTCTCATTGTTACATTTCCAAGAAAGGTTTTCGTCAACAGTAATTGCTAGAGTTTTGCACTGGAAAACTTACTTTTTTGATTTATCCCCGAGCCGACGGCGCGAAGCGCCGTGCGATGGTACTAATTCCCCCCGACTATTTACACCCGGGGAAACGAAAGCATTAGGGAAGTCTAAAGTTCATCAAATAACGCGGGCGCATGGCTCACCGTTCATCGTTTTTCATGGGTGGTCATCCTCACTGATCTCAGAAATATGGCGGACTGTCATGAATGGCGGACACTGATTGGTCCAGTTTAAAGCTTGCATTATAACGACTGCATGAGTGCATGACGACAGCGAAATAGCAAATATTTCTTGATTTGATGATTGATGAATTTTTTGCTCGCATTTTTGCAAGATTTTGTAAATTTCAAAAGTTTTCTCATAAAGAAATACCCTGGTTCCAGAGGTTTGAAATAAACCTCTGGTTGAAAGCGGCAATTGATTCATCGAGCCGCGCCAATCAGTTTGAATTAGGGTCAGATCTTGACTCTGTCTCCTGATTGGATGATTTTATTAAAGCTCTCTGATTGGTTATAGATGTTTTATTTGAATCAATCAGAGAGCTTTAATACAATCATCCAATCGGGAGACAGAGACAGGATCTGACCCTAATTCAAACTGATTGGTGCGGCTCGATGAATCAATTGCCGCTTTCAACCAGAGGTTTATTTTTCCTCTCCCCTTCGCAATAAACATAATAAAATAAACCTCTGGAACCAGGGTAATAAAGAAAGGGCGAAAGAATCGGCTAAAAGAAGGGAGTGACGTTAACGAAGGTAAGTTTGTTTTAAATATTGATTTTATAATGGATTTAAAACCCGACGGCCTTTGCGTATATGAAACAACTAACAAGACAGCATATAATTTCAGTATATCTTAAATATTGATTCCCTTTTTTATTATATTGAATTTTTTAAATAAAAAAGAAAGTAAAGTTATTTGTAAGCGGGAATTTGAAATCATTTTATTGCAAACTCAAAGTTTATCGATAAAGCCATTTAATTAAAGGCAGTTTAGTTTTATTTTATTTTATTTTGCGAAGCGTTTGTGGTTGAATTTTACCTTAAATTGAAGCTTATATTACCTACAATAACATATCTAACATATATATGTTGGGAAATTGATAATTTTGTAATTAAAAGTGATATTTTTAGGCGATTTGTAAGAATATTCTTAAAAAATTATCGCGACAACTACTGTAGATACTTCATGTTCGTAAAATACAATGGTTTTGACAGCAAGGTGAGGGTTTCTGCATGCATGTATTTTGTAGTCTAGAATAGTAATTACTAGTTGGTAATATCACTAACTTTTTAAACATTGGCTTTGTGGCAGTGCCAATTAATTGAAATTCAGTTTTCGCTACGTTTAAGCTCAGTTTGTTTTCCATAAGCCACTTTCGAGTCTTTCTAAATCCAAATTTACTGCAGATTCAATATCATTCATGCACTTTCCAGATGCTGTAATATTTGTGTCGCCAGCGAACATCCGGGGTCTAGTTTCATTTAGACAAGATGGCAGAAGAAAGGATAATGGTCCCAATATGGAGCCTTGGGGTACGCCGCATTTTACAATATTTTCTTTAGATGTAGAGCCGTTTATTTCACATCATTCCAATTAGTAATAGTTTTTTCCAATAATATGTCGTGGTTAACAGTGTCGAAGGCCTTTTTAGTCTATGAATACAACCAAATTAAACGTCAATTTTCGATCCATTTTTAAATACCCATCATTTGTACAGTCAAGTAAGGCTGACGCAGTCGAGTGAAACTTTTGGAAACCAAACTGATGTTCTGAGAGGTTGTTTAGCCGAAAATTCTCAAATAGTTGATATATATATAAAATACGTTCCATAACTTTGCTTCTGGCAGGCAGGCAGGCAGTCAGGCAAGACAGAGATTGGACGAACATGGTTTGTAGTAACTGGTTTGAATGCAGTGAATTCAGATTCAGCTTTTTCAGTTGTATCAATTTCATCTGCTAAGTTAGGTCCAATATTTGAAAAGTAATCATTCAAAACCCTTTGCTATGTCTTCAGGGCTTGTTATATATATAGTTTTACATTATCTATATTTAGTTCATTCACTTCAGTAGGACGTGTTGCTTCATCAATTAATTGAGTTAATAGGCAGCTTGCATGTTAGACTAATTTTTGATTTAGGCAAAAAAAAAGTAAATTCCCATAAAGAACTTATTAAAATCAGTAAATTGCAAAATTTGGTTACGAAATGTTGTAAAATACAGAAAATATAACCTTGCGAAGTTTGCATATTTTCAGTATGTTTGTATTACGTGCGGAAATTGTTACCATTTTTGAGCCGAAATTGTTACCATTTTTTCCGCACGTAATACAAATATACTGAAAATATGCAAACTTCGCAAGGCTATATTTTCTGTATTTTACAACATTTCGTAACCAAATTTTGCAATTTTACTAATTGCATTATGTTCTTTTTAACTGTTGTGTTCGATTCTCTTCTCTTTACATAGATTAAAATTTAGTCTAACATGCAAGTTGTCCATTGTAAATCTCGAAAAGGGACCTTAATTTATTTGCTGGGTGGTTGTGATTGTGTATGCCCCTAACGCTTCAAACTTTTTTGGCGATGTCAAATCTTGGCATGATTGCTAGTATTTCGCTGAAAACAAAAATGAATTTCGTCAAATCCTCCAATTTTTATGGCAGTTTAAAGTTGGTAAAAAGGCACTTTCACAAGTCTCAAATTTCACAAGGAGTCTGAGACGAGTAAATTTTGTGACATCATTCGAGATACTCGTGAAAACCACATGCAAATTCACTGTAGATCATATTTAACAAATATAAAACATTTTCCGTGTTGATATTTAACAATTATTCGCCGAAGGCGAAGTGATTACCGGTGAATATTCACCGAGACGAAGTCGAGGTGAATATTCACCGTAATCACTGAGCCTGAGGCGAATAATTGTTTTAGTATAAATTTTTAAAATGTTTAGGAACGAACTTTCCCTAAGTCTCATGTTATTAGTATATTTTGTGTTCAATATATAGACCACAGTAAGACTTTTTTAAATGTTTATTTCATTAAAAAAAAAAAAAAAAAAAAAAAAAAAAAATTCAAATAGTAATCCTACCTGAAGATGGAGTAAATCTCCGAAACGTCGTTTGTTAATGAAATAAACATTTAAAAAAGTCTTACTGTGGTCTATATACTGAACACAAAATATAAATTTTTAATGAATAAAACAAAATATCCGAATATCAGTTCAATTAAATTTCAGAAATAAAACTATTTTCGGCCTGTTCATTAATAGTGTTGCAGTATTTCTTGTACGCACACGCTTTCAAAATGGCTTCTTGTGTGACTTTATTGCTTTATTACAAAGTTGTTTTTTCTCGATTTCTGCTTGGAATATAAACACAATAACGGAATGACTCTTTCACCTGACTTAGAATTAAAAACAGTTTCTGTTTAGCATTATTTTCTTCAGGAAATAGCTGAGGAATTTGGTAAAATGAAATGTAAAACTATATTGTTCGAAATAAAGTTTTAATAACACTTTTTACTTTACAAGTTTCGAAAATACAATACATGAGCGGTCCGAACACCATACAGCACAATGAAAACATGACATATCAAAAGAAATAGTATCGTACAAATTGGGAAATCTATAGCATACAAAATAAAATGGATTTTAAAGAATATCACGGCAAGGTTTTTCCCAAAAGTCAGGATGGTTTTTGCTATTTGTTTGAAGTTAATGTTTCGGAGTTTTAAATAAGTTTTAAATTGTCCGTGAATATGATTGACACAGTAAAATAATAAAGGAATCCTACCTTTCAAGTTAAATACAACATTTTGTGCTTCTTTCGTTTTCTGGGGACGATTTTTTTCAATATTTTGTCGATTTTGAAACCAAATTTCACTAAATTTGCCGAATCATTCTTTTTGAAAAGCATTATTTACTACCCAGGTGGTAAATAATGCCTCAGATTTACTAGTCAGCTAGCCAATCAGAACGCGCGAAAGCTCATTTGATATGCAAAATTTATACTAAACAGTTATATCAACACGAGTGGAAAATGGGAAAACGAGAAATTGTGTGGAAACACGACGCCCGAAGGGCGGAGTGTTTTCACACAATTTGGAGTTTTCCCAATTTCCACGAGTGTTGATATAACTATTTATTTTTTTTCTTGCGGTCCGAAGTCATATTTTACGCTTTTCTGCAATCTGATTGGCTACGTGAGCGGTCCGTATGTATGAGCCCGTACGGACCGCGCGAGATTTAAAGCCGTAGAGCCAATGTTTTTATTTTTCAAAATTTAAAGACGAGTTTAAAAGCTACTTTTTAAAACATTAAAATGTCTGCAGACGATGAAAAACACAGTGAAAACGAATTTTACTGGCTCACAAAAGATATTTCTCTTCCCGATAGCATTCATAGAAACGACGTTTTATTTGGCAGCTTCATTCGCGTGCGGGAGGAGTGATTGGGGAAATCCAAAGGAATTAAAAAAAAATAAAACTATTATTTACCGGTATGGTCGGCCCGTATAGAGAAATATTTCTCTCGGTCTTAAAAACGTCCCTCGGCCTTCGGCCTCGGGCCGTTTTTAAGACCTCGAGAAATATTTCTCTATACGGACCTCCAATCCGGTAAATAACATATATATATCAAACGGAAAAAATGTTTTATATTTGTTTTATAATATAGCACAAAGAAATATAAAGAAAGAAATTTTCCGACGTTTCCGTGTTGACATTGAGCTATATCAACACGGCTCTTAGCCAATCAGCGTTCAGAATTTACAAATGCTATATTATAAACATACATTGCGTTTGCTTTGGTAAAACAAGGTCAATAGTTGTGCAGCGGCCAATTGCGCGAATAAAGTTTGTTTTTCAGGTATAAGTGTTCACACTATTCCTTATTACAACGATGATCGACCTGAAGCAAAGAGAAGACGGAAAATCTGGGTTGACTTCGTGAAGGCAAAACGGATCCTCGAGCCTTCGAAGGCTTGGACTTTATGCTCAATTCACTTTCTACCTGAACAGTTTTGTATCTGTTGTTTGTTTTTCTCTTAGAATTGGATCGAAAAGGTGGTTGCAGGTATTCACATCCTGGAATGCTGTGAAATGGCCCTGCTGACCTGTTGGGACATTCTATTGGGTGAACATCAAATGGTGTGTGGTGTGAAATGAAATTTGACTAATAGAATTGAAATGGTGTGAATGGTGTGGATAATAATGATGCTAGTGAAATATTTTTTGATGATGCTGGTGATGCATGAACTGTAATGATACTGGTGAAGCATATAAATTTACAATAAAGATATACAATAACAATAACACTTTATTTATTGAGGATAAACAGATAAAGTTACAACTTTTTTCCAATCTGGTCTTCCTAAACTCTATAGACACAACAACAATAACATTAAACATGACTATTTTCAGTACTTCCTGGGAGTATATATGAACAAATGAAATCATGGGTATAATGTAACCAGTAGTACAATAGACAACTTGCATGTTAGACAAATTTTTGATCTAGCCGATCTAGGCAAAAAAAAAAGTAAATTCCTGTTAAGAACTTATTAAAATTAGTAAACTTGCAAAATTTGGTTGCGAAATGTTGTAAAGCTCGGAAAATATAGCTTTGTAAAGTTTGCATATTTTCAGTATATTTGTATTACGTGCGGAACTTGTTACCATTTTCGGCTCAAAAATGGTAACAATTTCCGCTCGTAATACTAATATACTGAAAATATGCAAACTTTGCAAGGCTATATTTTCCAAGCTTTACAACATTTCGCAACCAAATTTTGCACTTTTACTAATTTCAATATGTTCTTTTTAGCTGTGGTGTCTGATTCCCTTTTCTCTGCTTAGATTAAAATTTTGTCTAACATGCAAGTTGTCCATTCAGTTGTTCATAACATCGAGAAAGCCCTAATTTTCTAATTAGGCAATTTTCTAACTATGTTTAAATTACATTTACAGAATAATATGTCGAAGTACGTTCACACACAACTCACGAGTGTCTAAAGTGACATTATAAACATGACAATATTTGGCACTTTCTCCATGTACGAACAACCGAAAGATACAGTGATGATACTGGTGATGTATAAGTTGTAAATTGGTATAGGTGATATTAAAGTGGGGATGAAAGCATGCAAGCTAAAATGAGACATGAATAGTAAAACTGCGATGTGTATGACTCGATCAATTGTTTTCGTGAGGATCGTGAAGGAATAACCTGGGTGCGTTTATGTGTGAAGTAGTGTGATATTGCCAAGACCTGGGTGAATGCCAATGTATCGCCACCAAGGCCAAGTCCCATGTGTTTTGCGTTCAAAACTAAGGTTATGTTCTCATCAGGCTCCAAACATAACCGGGAAAGTACGTTTCGACCCCGCTAGCTGGTCTTGGAAGTACGTGCTCGCATATAAATATTCATTTCTGTTCCTTTAATATGAATTATACATGTCTGCGCGAAAAAATCGGTTGATTATTTCGTCTAGGAATAGCGTGAAAATTGGTTGAATTTGGTATGCGTGCTTTGTAATGGATGAAAATGATAATGTTCTCATGTGCAATGTGTTGATTTTTAGTTACGGAATGTAAAAAATGAATTTTACTTACTTGTAACTGTTGTGAACCGTACTTTGCGTGTAGGCAAGGCGAAAAGGAATTTTTGGGAGGAGAGAAGTTCTAAAATTACGTTGGAGGGGGGGGGAGACAAACCCTGAAGTGTAGGGGAGTTTGGATGGGATTAGGGTGGGCTTAGGGTTGGGTTTGGAATACAAAAATATGAAATTTACGGGAAAATGTTTGCAAATTTTAAGACAATTGGGGGGGGGTGCGCGCAACCCAGAGGACTTTGACATTAGCACAGAATACTAACCTATTCAGAAAGTCATTTCTATTGTTTTTTTGCGAATTAAAGCGCTATTCGTCATCGATCCGCCCTGCAGCAAGTGCTCTAAACAGAAGCAGTCACCCCCTGACGTCATCGCCTTTTTAGGCATTTCTACGGGGGGGATACTTCTGTTTAGGAAACTTGCTGAGGGGCGGAGCAGTTGCTTAGGGCCAGAAATGCCAAGAACTTCGGATCTCTTTTGCAAAGAATCACCCTGAATACGCGCCTATTGTTATCAATGATAAACCAATAGAAATTGTGACTACCATCAAATTGCTGGGTCTGAACATTTCCAATCATCTTAAATGGAACCATCATATAGAGGAAATTGTTAAGAAAGCTTCCACTTCGTTGTATTTCCTGTAGAAACTAAAACCTGACAAACAACTTTTAACTTTCTACAAGACTTGTATTCGTCCTATAACCGAATACGCCTGTCCTGGTTGCCACAACGGATTACCCAAGTATTATCCAAAAACGCGCAATGCAAATCATATTCCCAAACATTAATTATCAGGACGCACTGAAAAACTGTAACTTATGGGGGTTTTTTGGGTTTTTTCTGTGTCGGAGCTGTGTACTCAGGTGAATATGGTGTTTGTGATGTTACTCTGAGTGTATATCCACACCGGACAAGCTTGAAAAATATGCCTGGCCACGGTGGCTTGAAAAATATGGCTCGAAAAAATATGCCTGGCCACGGTGGCTTCAAATATATGCCTGGCCACGGTGTAACTTATGTTCTTCATACGAACGAAGAGAATACCTAACGAATAAACTTTTTGAAGAAATATGTCCTGATCCCAACCATAAACTGCATTATCTGGTACCGAAACTAAACGAAACCGATATTGGACTAAGGAATAGACGCATGTTTAATTTTCCTGTGTGTAAAACAGACAGACTAAAAAATTGTTTTATTTAGTAATTCAAGTAGGAAAACTTTTTAATCCTAGTTTATATAGTTGTTGGATATTACATGTAAAATTAGCTTATCACTATTTAATCACTTTTAACTTTTATATCATGTAAATTTATATACAATTCAGCCATTTTGGCTGTAATGATATATCTAAATAAACTATCTATATATCTACCCGATAACGAATAGCGCTTTAATTCGCAAAAAACAACGTAGTCAAAATCCTCTGGGTTGCCC